TTTTACTTATGGTTTCCTTTGCTGTGCAGAAGCTTTTAAGTTTCATTAGGTCCCATTTGTTTATTCTCGCTTTTATTTCTATTGCTTGGGTAGACTGCCCTAGGAGAACATTTTTGAGATGTATGTTCAGATAATGTTTTGTCTATATTTTCTTCTAGGAGGTTTATTGCATCTTCTCTTATGTTTAAGTCTTTGATTCATTTTGAGTTTATTTTTGTGTATAGTGCAAGGGAGGAAAATAAGAAATCTTAATCTTTAGAAGGAACTTGGAACTTTGAAAATGAAGGAAGAACCACAGCTATGGTAAACATCTGGGTAAATAATTTTCTCTTCTTAAGTTCTTTAAAAATATTTGTGTGAATTATATCATTTTCTAGTGAAGTTTTCAACTTACATAGATATGAAAACTAAAACAAAGTGGGAAATATAAAGGGATCTATAAAGTGGTAAACATCTGACATTATGATAAAGTCGTAATATGACAGTTCTAAGTAACCTATGAAAAATTAAATATGCATATTTAACTACAAGAGCAACCACTAATAAAATTATATATCAAAAGTCCAGTTTATCAATTTTTTTCTTTCATGGATGATGTTTTAATGTCATGCCTAAGAATTCTTCAACTGAGCATTACAAAGATTTTCTGCTATGTTCTATCCTAAATGTTTCATCATTTTACTTTTAGATCTGTGATCCATTTTGATGTGATTTTTGCATAAGGTGTGAGATTTCATTGTTTTAGCCATTAATGTCCAATTGGTCAGTATTTGTTTAAATATTTGTTTTAAAGATTATCCTTCCACTGAATTCTTTTGCACTATTGTTAAAAAATATTTTGGTGTGTTTGTGTAGATCTTTGCTTTGCATGTTTATCCTTCCACCAATACTACACTGTCTTTATAACTACAGTTATACATCTTAAAATTGAGGAATGTGACTCCAACTTTATTCTTTTCTCCCTCATTGTTAGCTCCATCAAAAATAACAATAAATTCATAATAAGCTTTACAGAAAACCTTAATTTCTAACCTTTTATACTGATGTTTAGATTCCTCTTCACATTTTCAGTGATCTCTTTTACTACATCAATATTAGAAGGCACATAAATCAATTTCCACTCTTCAGGATTTTGGAGGAAAGAAGGCAGAGTACTGATGGGTTGAGAGGTAAAATTGTAAGGTCCAGTAACATTCATCTCAATAATTGCACGGAATAGCAAAAGCATCATTGGAAACACTAATATTGTTAAGACTTCCAATATTAAGTTAAAGAACTTCCTTCTCTAAAAGAGGAACAAAAAGATCATGTTAATTAACTTAAGAGTACATATTCAGTGCAAATGGTTAGTTCTATTAAGTTTCTCTCAATTTCACTTTGAAACAGCCAGTGTTTCCTGGACTATCTCACATCATCCCTCCAGCTCCCCTCCCAACTTTCTTATAGGTCACTATACTATTGATTAACTCAGCTTAATAGATTTAGAAGAGCCACCTACAGTCCAGGAACTGATTTTTCAAAAACGTGCACATGTGAGCATGTGCCCACTCACACCCACACACAAAATCTGAACTGCAACAAATAGGCATTTATGAACATTTTCTGTGGATACTTTTACACACCTTTAGGGTAAAATTTTTCCAGAGGAGCACTGCAAATTGCCTGAGTGCCAACAAATCCATTCTTCTACAAAAAGTGTATGTTCAACTCCAGGGATGGAAAAAAAGTTTTTCAATGTGAAGTTACCTAATAATGTAAACATCAAGCAAATAACAATATTACTTCTTTATCCTAATTTTCTCCTTAATCTGTCTCAAATATTGAGAGCAAGAATAATACATATTTGAAGTAAAGAAAATTAAATTACTATTTTTCTATCCAATAATTTCCTTAATATCTAGAAAGTTGTAGTATGTTTAAAAAACAAAGAAATAGAAAAACTATCCGTAAGATATAGTTCTATTTCTCCAGATGGCATAAGCTAATAGGATCTGATATTGCTATTTCAGTTTCTAAGACCAGATGGCTTCACAGGTGAATTCTACTAAATATTTAAAGAAGAATTAACACCAATCCTTCTTAAACTTTTTCAAAAAATAGAAGAGGAGAGGAACATGTACAAATTCATTTTAGGAGGCTCACATTACCCTTACACAAAGCCAGACATTTGCATGTCGTGTTTTGTGTGGTGCCTGTTCAAGTCTTTTACAAACTTTTATTAGGGGGAGGCAACATTTTCTTATTGAGAAAAGTGTTTTTCACATATTCTAGCATATATTCCTTTCAAAATAAATAAGAGAAATATCTTCTCCAGCTCTACAACTTGCCTATTTACTCTCTTCAAAGTATTTTTTGATAAGTAAAGCTTTTACTTTTAATGCAGTTCAATTAAATAGGTTTTTGTGTATCCTGTGAAAAATATGCTTACTCCAATCTGTTCTTCTATATTCTCTTTTAAATGCTTTATTGTTTTTCTTTTCATCTTTAAATCTATTCTCCACTTAAAATTGACTTTTATGTTTGTTTTATAAAGAGGTTAAGGTTGAATCTTTTTCATGTGAATATCCGACTCAGTATTAATTATTTTATTGAAAAGATTATCTTTCCACCACTATAAATAAAAGAAAAAAAATTCTACTAATTAAAATTGAAAAGCAAAGCAGGACACAGAAGAAGAATAGAAAATGAACAACAATCAAAATGTAAAAATTAAGATGGTAGAATCACTCAAATAGGTTAGTAATCACAAAAAATGTAAACGGATTAAATCTGTTAATAGAAATAATAAATTTCAATTTTGAAATTTAGCTAAATAGTGTTTATAAAGGGCCATATCTAAACATAAGAATATGTAAATTCTAAAAGTAATGCTGGGAGAGCTATAATAGTTTGTCTTTATGACAAAAAAAAAAAGAGACTTACCATACAATAAAAGGCTCAATTCATCAGGAGATCTTAGCAATTCTATGCCTATGTGCATCAGATATCAATACTATACTAACATATACTTGTAACATAGTCTAAAAACATATAAAATAACTTCCATACAAGTACAGGGATAAACTGATCAATCAACCATCATACTGAAAGATTTCAATACAATTTTCACAGTTTTTGACAGGTTAGGCAAATAGAAAAATATAGACAATTTAAACACAACATAATTAAGAAGTTGATCTCATACATATATGCAGAATACTCTACACAACAATTAAGATTGTTGCTCAAGCACACATAAAGCATTTATAAAAACTGATCATATTCTAGCCATAACAGCAACAGCCCCATAAATTTCAAATTGCCAGTATCATACAGAACACAGCCTATGATCACAACTGTATTAAGGTGGAGTTACATAAAAAGATGAGTTAAAGATTCCTGCAGATTTAGGTATTTAAAAAATACTTCTAAGCAGTTCATCTGTCAAAGGAGAAATTAGAGGGAATTTAAAATACATAAAACCAACTGATAGTAAAAATACTACATTTCAATACTTATGGAAGATAACTAATGTTATACTTAGATGGGAATGTATACTTTTATTTCCTATGTGAAAAAGCAAAAGAGGTTTAAAATAAATGGTCTTAGGATACAATTTAATGAGTTAGAAAAAGAACAACAGAATAAACACAACTAAAGCAACAGAATAAACACAACTAAAGCAGGAGAAAAGAAATAAAGCTAAATGCATACATATATGAAATAGAAAACAGAAATTAATAGAGAGAAATAATAAAAGCAATATATATATTTAAAGAATAGTAAAGTAAGCAAATCTCTGGTGAAATTCATCAAGATAAAAAGGAAAGTATAAATAAATAATATTCAGAATGTAAAGGCAGACATAACTACAAATCTAGCAGATAAGAAAATAATATAGGTCTACCTTCAGGAAGAGAATAAGTTATTCAAAGTACAAGTAGAAGTTTGAAAAAGTTATGCTAAGTACAAGTAGAAGTTTGAAATTTGCAGAGGTAGGCCTAGCATCGGGGAATCTTTACTCCTAGATATTGTCAATTCTGAAGTGCCAGCCAAGAGACTGGGAAGCTAAGCAGCTGTTTTGAGAGCCTCATGTAGCAGAGTGACCAAAGTTAAATTCACAGACCTGGGTTGAGGGTAGGTTGGGAAAAATTTCCTTCCTTTGGGCTGCCAAGTTAAGGTAAACTAGAAGTAGGCTGCACATTACAGATACTGAAACAGAGCTCCAAAGCTGCTCAAGCTCTGAGATTTAACCAAGGTGCCAGATAAAAGCAAACAAAGAAACAAAATCTCTCTGAAGGAATTAAGAAACATCTCAAATCAAATTATTTCTAAAAACCAATTTCCAAATATAATTTCTATCATATAATATAAAATAACCATAGACAGGAAAATAAGATTACATGAATGAGAAAGTAAGAAGCAAACACAGAAGCACTTCAAAAGGTTCTATATGTGAGCCTTTCAAATAACAATAACTTCTACATTCAAAAAGAAAAAAAGACAAGATTGAGAATATGAGAACTGGAACTATGACAATGGAATGACAAATATGGAAAACAGCCAAATAATTCTAAAATAGAAGACTATCTCAGCTGAATTTAACCTCGATGGATACTATAATTGCAGATTTGATACAGCTGAAGAGAAATAATTGGTCAGGAAATTTTTTCAGAATAAAATACTCAAACAGAGAGACAAATAGAAAAATAAAGAATACAGTGACACAGAAATAGTCATAAAATTTAATGAATACATAACTGGAGGACAGTACAAATAGAAATGAAGAGAGGTAACAAATGAAGAGAAAAGAGCTGAAATTTTTCTGAAATTGATGAAAAACATAAAATTACAGGCTCAAGATGAACCCCAGGCAGGATAAATGAAAACCTTTCTACATTTAAGTACATAATAATGAGGCTACCACAGAAAACAGACAGATGACCTTCATAAAAGCAAAGATAAGACTGTGACTTCTTTGAAAAAGACGGAAACCAACAGAGATTGAAATAAATATATTCAAACTGCTGCAAGGAAATAACTACCGACTAATTTTATACCAAGGAAAGGATAATTTTCAAGAATTAAGGTGAAATGAAGACAAAAACAAAGAAATACAAGTTGAAAATTTGTCATTAGAAAACAAATTTTAAAAATGCTTAAAGGGGACCA